TAAACAGGTCCAAGAAAGTCAACTATCAAATAAGGCAAAGTTGTGTCCAGAAAACACAAAGGCCAAGTAGTACCCTATAAAAACAACCGACCTATCAGTGTACAGTGTAAATGATATAACCAAAAATAAACTTTCAGTTAACGACATATTTACTACCTAATATTTTAAAAGTCAGGTTATACAATAATTAATTAAGATGGCTTGGAATAATGTATGTAGATAAATTACAAGACAAATTTACAAGTTAATTTACTCTGAGTAGACACATTATACAGAAAAGAAACACAGAAATATAAGTTTTCAGGGTTTGGAGGTATAAGCATCAAATAAATGTATTTGAATTTGAAAGTAATCTGATACTTGCCCTAGAGACCCTTTGACTCTCGAAACTACTGTAGGTTTTTCCAAGTGTCTATCTACCTTCTTTAGTCCCTTCGCCAGTCTTCGCTTTGTTACTGCTCTTTTCTGGAGGCAGCTTTGCGCTCTCCCCTTCTTTCTCCTTGGCTTGCTTTTCAGCAGCTTTCTGTGTGTCTTCACTCCGTTTCGAGTACTCCACCTTCCTGTCCACCTTTTCCTTTCTCTCCTTCTTTCTTTCTCCCTTTTCACTGCCGTCTGGCTTCTTTTCACCTTTGTCTGTTGACTTGCTTTTTTGCTCACTGCTTTCCGGTTGGACATCTTTATTTAGCACAATGAAATTATTATTCTCCTTTGCATGATTTTTAGTTTCTTCAACTGGACAAGGGAGGTCATTGAGCTCTTCGGCCTTGGGGGCGGTTCCCGGCACCTCCCCTGCAGAGTCAGGTGGCGGCGGCTCCCTGTCGGTGGCGAGGTCCTCTGCAGCTCTTTCTCTGTCAGTGCTGGTGTCAGCACTCGGCTGAGATGGGAGCTTTTTGGATGCTCTGTCACTGGGCTTGGCGGTTGATGCCTCTGTGGAGGCCCTGGCAGCATTAGCTTCTTGGTTAAGAGAAGTGATGGTTTCCAGTATTGACATGGCGTCACTGGCTACATTAGCGCTGGGCCCAGGAGCAGGAACACCTTAGAGGAAAGACAAGGTTTAGAATGATCTTGTGCAGAAAGCAAACACCTCAAGGAGTCGACACCAATGGCACTGTCACCTTTATGTGATGCACACGCTGTGTGGACCATTTGTGCCCCTGCTTTCCTGTTCCAGCGCGAGTCCATACCATCTTCTCCATTCTCTGCCCCTCTCCTACACTCTCCTGGGAAGGGCACCATGAAAGTCTTAGAACAGTCTAGTTCCCTGAAGAAGACTCCTTTCTCTAATCACTGTGGTTCTTCATACTATTATGACACACACACATACATACACTCCATTACTAAAATGTGTATTATTTTTATTAATCTAGTAGAAAAAGAAATATTGTGCTACTTGAAGAATCTGGATGATATTTAAAATAAACACAACTTCACTAGCATGGCCAAACAGAGAAAAGTTTTAAAGGACCAACCACCCCTAGCTCGAGACTCAGTTCAAGAAGAGAGCAAGGCACCTTGTGTGACGACAGCAGAGTCGGGCTTCTCCTCCTCGGGAGCTGTGCTGCCACTGGCTTCCTCCTTGTGATTTAGTGTGGCCAAAAACTCATGCACAGCCTTCTCCACCTGAGGTCTAAACGTGTGGTTGATCTTTGGATCCACAACCTGAGAAATAATTCGGTCGATACCAGACTCCAACATTCCTGATCTGGAACACAGGATAAGTTACACAAAAGTGAAAAAATAATTTTATATTATTTATATTGATTACTCTGAAATAAAACGGAATCTGTTATACATGTGTTAAACCTTAAACTGTCCAATCTGTGCACCTGGATATACAAAAGAATAGGCAATGGACCATGAGTTTCAGGCTATAGTGGCATCTAGACACACCACACTACAAAAAAGTCTGTCAACTTGACCACCACTGGGCCGATGGGGGAAATACTGAAACAGACAAAGCAAACACCCCCGAGGACTAGACACAGTGCACTATCCAGGCTCCAGGCGTGTGGGGGACGCTCATCTCCCCCCCAGGACTAGACAC